AAATGGATGTAAAATGGATGTTGGGCGGGGGTCCGGAAATGGACGTTCATTGCACATCCATACTATTCTACATCCATTTTCGGACAGCCCCAAAAATCGAGGTCCAATCCTGCGTCCATTTTGCAGCCTCCCCCTACAAGGGGAAAGGGAGGAGGAGGAGGAGGCACGCTCTGGTCACGGCTCACAAGCCAGGCTTCCCATGCATCGTCGCTACCCGCTACCAGCTATCATGTCTGAACACATGGCTGCATAATCCACGTTCGCTAGCACCTCCAGAAAAAAATCTGCATTATCCATGTTCGATTAGCACCTCATGTCTGATACTCCACTGAAATGGACGTTGGCTTCGCCATTCTGTGATTTCTTGCGGATGCTGTTCTGTGGCTGAAAGGCCCTCCCAACACTAGCAACAACAGCATTGACTATAGCAATGATGGCAATCACCGAACAGAGAATCACCGCCTCTCTGCCCGAAAAGCCTGAACCAGAACCAGCTACATCCTAGATGCGACACCTCTGAATAATGACGCGATGCGACCGCATTCAACATGACATCCCGAATCGGAATCCTCAAATCAAGTACGTAAAACAACCCTAAACCCTCAACAACCCTAAACCCTAAACAACCCTAAACCCTAAACAACCCTAAACCCTAAACAACCCTAAACCCTAAACAACCCTAAACCCTAAATTTCCGTAAACCCTAAACAACTCCCTCAAATATGCCGCCTCCGAGCTGGCGCCGCGCTATGAGCAGAGCCATGAGGCTGCAGCCCGGCTACGGTTTAAACGCTACCCAGAGAGCCCAATACCCCTTAATTAAGGAATTACACCTTAAATTATAGGGGCCTTAAAGGGATCTATAAGGGTTTAGGGTGTAGGGCTTAGGGAATATACCTTAAATTATAGGGGCCTTACTATTATGATTTAAGGTATCTTCCTTAATTCAGGGGTTTTGGGCTCTCTGGGTATGGGTGCACACATGCTGGCATTGCAACGATGTGCAGGATGGGATCATGGTGAGCAACGTGTAGCTTAAGCTTCGAATAAGCCTCTGATGACAGAGCCGTGTTGCAGGCTGAACTGAAAAACTTTATACTGCAGTGTCCTTTCCACGTTATGGATATGTACGACCGACAAGTTCACGAAGCAGAATGCATACAAGGCAGAAACATGTCAATACATGTATTTGCAAATTTACATGTATACAGACATACACATTCTAGAACCTTGTGGAATCCCGTTGCGATTGGCTTGCATTGATTTCCAAACATATGTGGTGAAGTCGTTTGTGCCGGATGATGTCATGCGCAGCCTTGTAGCATTCTTCTTGAAGCAAACTGCGGCAACAGTCTTCAGGGTGTGGAGACTCATGAGCATTGCAATTTTCAGAGAGGCAGTCGGGATAAGGATTGAGTGTTATACCTGAGAGGAGTAATCCACGTTTGCTTTAACGGAGTCATCGCGATGCTCAGAAGGGTTTTCGCGCTGCTGCGCGCTCATTGCCTCTGCACTCTTGAATCACAGTTATGTTCTTATTGCACTTCATTGTCGTATACTTCCCTTCTGGCTCGTGCGATGCGCTGCGCGTTGCATGATGCAAACTCCGATCATGACGAAGATAGTGTTGGTGACGTGATGATGGTGATGATGATGATGGTGATGAAGATAATGATGAAGAGGACACAAGACATGATGATGGTGGTGGTGATGACGGCAGTGGCAACTGTGACGATCAATGTCCATGGTTGGGTCCGCGTTACCTGTCGGAGGCAAATCATAAGACAACACTGACGGAGATCAATGGCCCGCACAAATCCCGAATCCCAAATCGACTGGTGGCTCTCCAAGAGACTCAACCGAAGGCCTCTAAGCACTTCAATTTAGCTTGGACGAAATCTTGCATCACCCGGTAAAGCGCTCTGATTTTGAGGACGCCGTACGTGTCTCAGCCTTTGCTCTTGCCAAATCTCCGAGTGACGATCTCGTTCACACGGCGCCACTGCCAACTGCTGACCGGATGATCGTTCACCTCTGGCAAGTGGACGTTGTGCAACTGATGGAATAAAGTGGGATAGCAGAGGAACCAACCTGCGCAAGTCTAACCCCGATGATTCTCAACCGCTACCAATCCTATAAACCCCTTTAAAGTAAATCATCTAAATACTAAAATCCATCTTTTCCTCCCTCGTAATGTGACGGTTGAAGACTTAATGACACCTTGAAGCTTTGCCGAAGAAAGCCTTAGCCGCCATGTCACCATGCCGGTGGACTGCATCAGCGCATAACAGACCTAGAGCTCGTCGGCCCGAGTCCAGTTTGTTAGGGGACAGTAGGAGGGTTTAGGGTTTAGGGTTTAGGGTTTAGGGCCCCTAGAAGGGACCCCTAATCCTAATACCCTATATAGCCCTTATATACCCCATAGATAGTCTCAGAAAGTCCCTATATAACCCCAAGGGTCCCTTTAAGGGTCCATCCTTTGGTCCCTTGATGTTACGGCCCCAGGGAGCTGGGGATCTTGGAATTGGAGCTCGGGGCGTCTTCGAACACGACGAGATGGAACCCTTCAAGTACCTTTTATAGGGACTACTTCAAGGCCAATTAAAAAGAAACAATATTTGGGTACATGGACCATTAAACCCTAAACCCCTGAAGTCCTAAACCCCAAACTTTAAACCTCTCAGGCTTTAACCCCAAACTATTTGGGCACATGGACCCTTAGGGGAAGACTGACGAGGAGGAGCGATCGAGTGCCCTCTAGTCCTGCAGTGCCTGCTTGGGCTTACGGATTTGGAGGTGAGGGTGCAGCTTGGTCGCCAGTTAAATGCTAGTACTACCAATATAGGGGCCTTGCTAAGTAGAGTAGGGTTTTGGGGTTTGTTATACTATACGAATTTAATACGGAACCCACCAAAATAGTATGGGTAATGATTTAAAGGCTATTCTACTGAAGCCTAAACCCTAAACCGAATAGCTCCGAATTTCCGAGTTCGGTGCCTACTAAACCGCGAAGCCCTACAGGGTGTCGGGAAGGATTTGTTAAGGGTTAGAGGTTTAGGGTTTAGGGTGTATATAGGGCTTATAGGGTTTAGGGTTTATAGGTTTATAGGGTTTAGGGTTTATAGGGCTTAGGGTTTATAGGGCTGATAGGGTTTAGGCTTTAGGGAGCTTTGGGCCTTCCCTTGACGGATGTGGGGAGATTGTTCGAGAAACCTTCGTGCACAGCAAGTTTTCGGACTTCAGGAGTCGCATGGGACCTGTACTTGGAGGTTCATGGGTAGTTATAAGTTGGGTTATAAGCCCCAGAATATGGGTTATAACTGTAGTTACCTTACTTATAACCCAACTTATAACTACCCATGAACCTCCAAGTATCCCAAAACTGGACTTTTAGGTGAACGTAGGAGCATCGTGAAGCGATAGGGGTCTATATAAGGTCTTGGGCATGGTCTCGCGTGTGTCTAGGGCTCCGAAAACGTGCATCTTCGGCGAATGCTGAGCGAGGCGGCAGTGGGCCCGACAAAGACAAAGCCACGCCGCTTGAGCTCCTTGCGACATCGGGTGTTCAGCCCAGGCCATGTAGAAACCCTAGATCCGAAACCCCAAGCCGGATCCGGAATCGGCTAGAGGTTTATGCCATGCTGGCCGCAGCTACACTCAGAATTCTTCCGAAGCCGATACGAGTAGGACATGAAAGGATGCCAACAAGGGCAGAAGCTCAATGCTTCAGGAGTGCTCAGACCAAAGAGACTGAATAAACCCGCAACTTGAAAATAACAAGGTGGGTAGTTCTCTAAATTACGGTCCTTGTTTAGGTCCCCAAAAGAGTGCGGCACCCTTATAACAAGGACCCTAAACAGGACCCTAACTACCCATGTGGGATCTCTGGAGCTGTGGTAAGGCAATTGAACAAGAGGTGCTCCTACTTCGAGGTGCTTTGGGGTTTAGGGTTCGGGGTTTAGGCTTGTTGCTTCGGGCTTAGTGCCATCTCGACATACCACGGATGCTCGCATGTAGCGGCTAAGTGCACACCTTTCATTTTGCTCACTGGACGTTGAACAACGCCATCACAAGCGGCGCAAAAAACTAATACCCATCTTGAAGCATCTTGAACTCAATCAGCTACAATCCGCATCGCTTGCTTTCCACGAGATTTGCCGTTGTACTGGTGCTGGTTGCATGAGGGTTTAGGGTTGGTATGACTCTAGAGGACGATTGCGATTGCTGTGCTCTTGAAGAATTTTAGCTAATGTAGGAGCAGTAATAATCTTAATAGGGTTTTGGGGTATGTTCTACTACACTATATAGGGAACCCCCCCCATAAAAAAAATAACATAGGTCGTTGTTTAGGCCCCTCTACTAGCACCAGTAGCTCTGGACCCCAGAGCCGGACAACCAGGATCACCAAGCACTGAAACCCCAAAACCTCCAACCCTAACGATTCCCCAAAGCACCCTAGAGCCTCAACCCCACATTCATAACGTTTAGGGTTTAGGGTTTAGGGGTTTAGGGGTTTAGGGTTCATAACCCGTGGAGAGTACCTCATAAACCCTGAAGGCAACCCCTGACAGGCATGCTTCCAGGAACCCTAAAACGAATCTTTGAATCCTTATAGAAATCGCCAAAAGGGCCCTCAAAGGAAGTCTTATAAAGGAACCCTTATAGTTCCTTAATGGAACCCCTTATAGAACTCCTCAAAGAGGAGCCCTTAATTAAGGGTACTACAGGGTTCTATAATAGGGATCCCCCCAAGCCCTTAACCCTAAACCCTGAAGCCTAAACCCCAAGCCCTAAACCCTAAACCCTGAAGCCTTTGCCGCAAAAACCCTAAGCCCTAAACCCTGAAGCCTTTACCCCAAAAACCCTAAACCCTAAACCCGAAACCCTGAACCCGAAACCCTAAACCCTAAAACCCTAAAACTCTAAACCCCAAGCCCTAAACCCTAAACCCCAAACCCCTTTAAAGGGGCTCCTTGCTCATGGTCACGGCCTCTGGCGTGATGTCCTCGTCTCGGCTCACATCCCCGCGGGGGTTGCATCGAAGCTGTGAGTGTTACCGCGCGGGTTCCTATATTCCTATAGGGTTTAGTACAGGGTTTAGGGTTCAGGGTTTAGGGTTTCGGGTTTTGCGTTTGGGGTTCCGGGTTTAGGGTTTAAGTTCGGGTAGCGGGGATTATTATAGGGGTTGCGAAAGGGGTTAATTACAATGAGGGTTACGATGTGGGTTACCATAAGGCGTACGACAGGGGCTAGTATAAGGGTTGCTATAAGGGATACTGTAGGGGGTGCTAAAAAGGTTACGACAGGGGTTGCTATGAGGGTTACAATCTCTAAGGGCTCCGATAGGAGTCACTGTAAGGGCTACTTACTCGAGGGGATACAGTCAGAAAGGGCTCCAGAGGGTTTAGGGTTTGAGGGTTTTCGGGTTTAACCCCAGGCTCGAAACCTCAAACTTCGAGCTTCTGGACAAGGAGCTTCACATCCCATCAACGACTGAGCATCCATGGGCTTCAAGGAGGGCCTAACCCCTAAACCGTACGCCCTAAACCGAACAAGCCCCCCTGAATCCTAAACCCGCACCCTAAATCCTAAACCTAGGAAGGCCAGTCCGGAATGGCTTTCTTGCTCTTCCAGCGATTGACTTTCGGCCGCCCCCCGACGAAGGACCTCAAAGGTTTGGCTCGCCTACGAACCTTAAGGACACGGTCGAATCAGACCTTATAAGCTTCAAGCCAGGGTTTAGGGTTTAAGGGTTTAATGTAGGGGCCTTCATAATTAGAATAGGGTTTGGGGTATTTTATACTATAATTATACTGAGGAAGCCCCAAAACCCCATCCTAATTATTAAGGCCCCTACAATAAACGCTAGGAGTTTCAGGCAGGCGAGGCAAGTCTCTATGAAACGGGCTTTGCTTGCTCAAAATCTAGGCCCTTCACCATTAACCCATGCAAGGCTTCGAGAACCCTAAACCAAAAACACCTCAATCCATGGGCTTTCGGGCTTATGTTTGGGTTCAGGGGCTTTTTCTGCGGGCGCCTCGACGCGCGAAGCCCAATAAGATGAGTCGGCTAGTTGAGGTACGTCTTGGATTCTAGGTTTAAGGCTTAGCTTCAGGGGTTTAGCTGCATAGTTTGGAGTGGAATTACTTTGGCGGTTCACCGTGGCCGTCATCGTCCTCGTCGCAAAACGTGTACTGTACCAGAAACGCTCAGCAAGGCAATCACAAGATCGAAGCACTTCTGAACGAATGCGAAGTCAGAGACGCATTGACACGACAACGATGAGGACATTGTGGCAACGAGATAACCATCGTCATAATCGCCGTCTTCGTCGCCATCAACAGCAACTCACCGATCTCATCATCGGAGTCGTAGATGCAGAACAAACATCGCCGTAGCTTGCGAAACATCTCGTGATGGCTATGAAAATATAGGGAAAGTGCGCACATCTGTAGGACCGAAACGGGAAGATGACAACCATCATTGGGCCCTCGTCGTCTAGACTTGCATCGTGATCACCAGTGCTGGCAACATCACTTTGACCGTAAACATCAACGCAGCAGCACCAGCAGCAGCGGCGTGGTAAGCAAACACGGCCGTAGTTGGTTGGTGCTCCAGCACAAAAAACATCATCGCTGACTAGAAGAACTGCTAAATGGAATTGGCCGCAATGTGCAGTAAGGATTGGCATGCTTCTGACGATGGCTCGTCTAGTACTACACTGAAGGCACTGTGCTCTCAGGAAGGCCCTACCACAGAACGCCAAACATTTTCCAAGAGCTGTTCCATGATTCTGCTACGCACTGCCAGGAACCACCAGCGCAGTCCGTAGAGCATTCTGACTTAGGCTAGCTGGTGGCAACAAGCCGCACCCTGACTATTGCACATCCAACGTAGTAGCAAAATTGCGTAGCAGTGGCAGTAGCAGTAGCAGTGGCAGTAGCAGTAGCAGTAGCATTAATAAAAGTAGTATTAGGGTAGTACTAGTAGTAGTAGTAGTAGTAGTAGTAGCAGTAGTAGCAGTAGCCGTAGCCGTAGCAGTAGCAGTAGTAGTAGTAGTAGTAGTAGTAGCAGCCGTAGTCGTAGTAATAGTCGTCGTAATAGTGGTAGCAGCAGTCGTAGTATTGTTATTATTATTAATGGTAGTAGTAGTACTCGTCGTAGTACTAGTAATAGTATTAGTAGTAGTAGTAGTAGTAGCAGTAGTCGTAGTAGTAGTAGTAGTAGTAGTAGTAGTAGTAGTAGTAGTCGTAGTAGCAGAAAAAAAAATA